GGGGGGGGGCGTTTCTTGGAGGGTGGTTTTTCTGCTTGCGACCTGTGGGTGTCTAGTTGAGTAAGTGTTCTACAGTTCCCCATGTGGTCGTGGGCGATTGTCTGGGGTGCGGCTTGTGGAGTCTCGTCTTCGGGTCCGCCGTTACCGTTTGAGAGTTGTTCGGCTACGTCTGTGTTGAGTGGGGAGTTTGCGGCTACGAATGCACTGAGTCCGGGTTTGGACTACTGGAGTTCGGAGGGTCCGTTGGATGCGAGTGAAGAGGTGACTTGGAAGGGTGGGTTTGGTTCGTTGACGGACGTGCGCGGGTTGGAGATACGTTGGGCATTGGCTCCGTCAGAGTTGGAGGTGTTAGGGAGCGGTGATAAGTTGACGGATCGAGTATTAATGGATTGGAGAGGTACGACTAACTCGGACGCGAGTTTTAGTGAATTGTTAGAATTCCCAAAAGGGACGGAGACAGTGTTGGAGATCAAGCTAGTGATGAAGGGTATGCCGCATGACTACATTGGTATCCAGCAGGTGCGTGCAGTGGGTAGTGATCAACAGATCTTTATGCTTGTTAGCGGCATTGAAAGCCCCCGAGCTGAACAATGCCTCCAGGGCGCGGGAACGGGCGCCATGGTACAGGCTGCGGAGGTCGTCGTTGGCTCCTGCGAATTCGCACTCGCTACCGGCACTGGCAATGACGTGTGGCTCCGGACACCCACCGGACAATTGGTGCTCGCACAGTCCGAACCGACTCTTTGTCTCGACTGGGGCGACACGGCACAGTACAACGATGAACTGCTCGGCAGTGCCTGCCCACCCGGCGTTGAAAATTGCGTACAGAACAAGACTGGAACCACCACTGGCACCACCACCACTGGCACAACCACCGGATCGGGGAGTGCTACCTTGCAGTTGCAGCCCTGTACAGAAACTGACTCGCGGTTCGACTACCAGCCTAATGGGCAGTTGCGGGCGGTAATCGACCGACGGGACTTGTGTCTGACGGTCCAGGGTTCGAAGCCGGGGATGGGCAATTTGTTGGAGACGCACGAGCAGGGGAGCGAAGCGTCGAGCGTGGCGGACACGGACCACGAGTCGGATAACGCTCTCACCGCCAGTCTGGAGACCTTCTGGGCATCCAAAGGTTTTACGGATTGCTCGGAACATAATGTGTACTGGCAGTTCGATTTTGGTCAGGCTGTGAAAATACACCAAGTCAAAATAGATTGGGAATACTCCCCCCTGGCCTACTCGCTGATGGCCAGTAGTGACGGTAATGCCTTTACCACACTCGTCTTCAACCCAGTTAACCCGAACAATGTTACGTTAGACGATTTGGGTGTTGCCAAGACGAGATGGATTCGTGTGGTAATGCATAAGCCGCACCCCGTCCATGGACTTGTTACGCAAAGTTCGTCCAGTGCCGCCGCCAAAACTGGTGCTGCCAAAGGTCAGGTTTATGGTTATGGAATCAGGAATATAAAAATATTACAAAATAAATTAAAATTAAATTTAATTAATTGCGACAAAGCTGGGAAACTTACTACAGGAGGGGACAAGTGGTTCCTGAACGCCGTTCGGAACTTTAACGCTGACGAAGCGCGCCGCACGCGGCTCTCCGGCGAGGACTACGTTGAAACATTAAAGAGTGTACAGCAGTCAGCTTCGAACCTGGCGGAGGTTTTGCCAGACATCAGTAGTTGCAAGTCCGTAGTAGCTGGTCTGCAAAAGGAGTATGACAAAACAGAGAAGATACAGGAGATTCGTGACCGGCTGCGTTCACTTGAAGAGAAACCCACGTCCTTTGCGCTTACGCAACCAATCCTTGGTATGAGTCGCGAGTACCCCCTAATGTCCACATGCAAAGTCTCCGCTGGGTCCTCAGGGGTAGGGTTCTACTACGTGCAAGTGCCGTGTTCGTCTACAGGCGTATTACGGTTGTTTTGCGACGACGAAAACGACGGGCTGTTTCTCTACGACGGGGCACGAGTTGCGACACGCGAGAGTACGCTGGACATCGAGCGCGCGTGTGCGACAGAGGGCCTGATGCCAGTGGTAGTGAAGAGTGCAAAAGAGTACGAGTACATGGTCACGATGTTGAAGTCCATGTCACTGCGCGGGCGCGCGAACATCCCGTTGGCATTCGACCTGGGTTGTGCCCGCGGAAGTTGCCTGGGTGTGTATCATGATCTCGGACGTTTGGCCGAGGTGAGTAGTGTGCTGACTCGCTATCTGTCCACCTCGGGTTCGAGCTCCGCCTCCGACTCTGGCTCGACTTCCGGATCGGCGTTGGCTTTGGTGTCGCGAGGGGGCGTGTGGACGGTGGACTACAGCGACTGGCTATCGGAGGTGCAGAGCGGCTTCCTGTGTTCGCAATTGGGGAGTTTGCGGGAGGCAGGATACCGCGCGATGTTGGCCTGTTCGACACGAGGTACGTCCCCGATTTTCCAGGGCGGTAGGAATACATTTGTTCGAGTTTCTTGCCCGGGCAATTGCGGCCTAGTAGCAGAACATGAGGTGTTTGGCGGGACGGGGTTGTATGCAGATCGATCGCACGTTTGCAAGGCGGCAGTGCACGCGGGTGTGCGTGATCTGGCTGACTTCTTGGTGGCGTTGGAGAGTCCAGCGGCATCCTACGGTGCGGTGGTAAGCAACGGTATTAGCAGTCGTGCATTGGCGGGGCCCACAACCTCCGCACTACGTCTATTGGATGCGCTGGATCGCTGCCCGGTCCAGGACCTGTTGGCGGCGACTGTCGAAACGCGTGTGATGAAGGACTTGAATGCCCAAATAGTCCTGCCCAAGACGCAGGACTGGACCGAGAGCGAAAGTCTGGGTGCGCAAAAAGCGGTCACCGCACAACTCAACGCCGCGCCACTTGCTGCGGGCGCAAATAAGGCCACGATCGAGAGCTGGAATCGCACCCGCGACCTCTCGGCGCTCCTACAAAAAGTCGATGCGCTAAGTCTCACGTACTCCCGCCAAACGACCGTCACGAGTCTGGTCGACGGACGTGGACTTGTCAAACCCATAGAAGTAACAACCACACGCCTCCAGGGCCGTAGCGATCAATCATACGTGATACTAACTCGCACCGTCAAACGTGTCCTGGGTGTCGTCGCCGAGTACTTTACGAAATTAATGGAGACACAATCACGTAGCGCAGCCCTCATACAGTCCCGACAGCGTCACATAGCCGTTCTCGACCTGGACCGCGATGACCTTTCTTTGGAAGACTTCCTGGCCTTCCCGCCGAGTCGTGCAACCTCGGCCACCACTGCGACCTTCTCGTTGGGACGCTCGGACACCCTTGCGCATCGTGTGATCATTATGCAGGCGACGGCGGGAGCTGAGATCGGCACGGATTCGGAGTCCGCCGTTGTGGAATTCGTGGAGGGACAGCCACTGGAGTTTGGGGGCGAGTCGATTTTGTTAACTCGAAATCTGTACCACTACGACGGTGAGTTGACAGCGGAGTTAACCGTTCGAGGCACTGTGTTGGTAGGTTGGAGAGTACGTGCTGCGAGTGGTGACGGCTTTTGGTTGTGGTTATCTCCGGACCGTGTGTCAGAGGAGCCACGAGTACGGTTCAAGTTAGTGCGCCGGTTCAAGGGCCGTGTGTCCTCACTGTCGCTCTGGGCATCAGTGTTAGTGTCAGATGCAGAGACGGTGCGGTTACGTGTGACACTTGGCCGTGGAAGACACACACTGTTCCTCGAGGGATTGCGCGCACTCGACGTGTTCGATGAGACACTGACTTCCGGCCAGCTCGCTCTAGGAATCTGGACGGGAGCCGCGGAGGCGTACCTGCACTTCGAACCTCACTGTTGCGAAAAACCGAGCACCACACGCGTCCTTCGAGCACCCGCACGCTGCGCCTCCTTCCAAGACACCTTCCGTCTTGCGCCAAGCGAAACGTTCCTCCTCTCGCCACGACATGACGCCACTCTCCAACGCAACCTCCAGGGACGCACTACGGCCTACCGACTTTCGCACTGGTCGCAGTCCGCAAATGGTCGTGCCGCAAATGGTCGTGCCGCAAATGGGCGTCGAGAAAACTCGGTCCGGGGACCTTCCGCGCCACAGTCGGATGGAACACAGCCGCATTGGGCCATGCTCGACCTACCCGGGCGCCACACGTCGTGCTCTCAAGGCACCTTCACGTTCGACTTTCTCGCAACCCCCGAGTGCCCCGACCTCGAAATTGGACCCATCATTTGGCCACAGCCCTTTCTTAATGATATTCCGGGCGACCACGAGGAGGAAGGGGATGAGTCAGGACGTGATACAGCACCGGACCATAGCATCTACCAATGGCTGGCAGTCACCCCCAGCGGCTCAGCCAAAGGCTATGCCAACCGCGGGGCACCGTCGACGCCTCTACTGCAACCTCCTCTGGCGCAGTCTTCTCTGATACACATACCCGTAGTCGTTGACGAACAGTTCCTTGAACCCCTACTCCACAATCGCTGGTACACTCTCACCACCCTGCTCACACCTGAGGACTCAAACCTGCTCGTTCTGGATGGTCGCAGAGAACTCGGCTTCCTATCCGTCAGAAACCGCCAAGAATCGAGCGACCAAGACTATCGTATCGGCATCGCCTACCGCAACTGTGATCATGCCTTTGTAACCAGGATCCGACTGCACCCATGATGAACCAATCACGGGGACGGACACAGACTGCTACCAGGGCGGATAGGCAGGCGACTGTGCTGGGGAAGGAGACCAGAGAAAGTCCACTTCTAGGGTGGGATATTCAAAGACTTAGGAAGAGAGGGAGGGCTTTATACACTGGGTGAGAGAGGGGTGGAAGTAGCGAGGCTCGATCAGTCGGGTGCGAAACTAACAGAGGGGTATATCGGGTACACAGCCAGCCAGATCGGGTACACAGCCAGCCAGATCGGGTACACGAGCACCCATGATCACTTTAATTAACGACAGACTGACTGAAGATAGCTACGACGAAAACAGAATTCTAGTTTATACTTAAAAAGGTACTTGGCTGGCAGGGGTCTCCTCCCCTGTATTAAATCGCCAGTCTTGCTTTGTGAAGTTCGAGAAGTTCACACGCATCTAGAGAAGTTCATTTGAAGCTCGCAAACATCAACAACCCCACCTAGTAGTTTTCACCCATTACTTCCGGAACCGGATGTTCTTATTGCCGGTGGCTTGGTTGCCTATGACAGGTTGTTTGGTCGTTGGGTTAGGTGCGCTCGTAGTTTTCTTGGTGGTTGTCTTTGTAGTAGTCTTTCCCACAAAGAACACGCTGACCATTTTTTTTATTGCGATCCAGATTAATCCCGTAAGGTAGGAGAAGACGGAGAGTGCAGCATAGAAGACAGCGAAGATATACGTGAATGCGAGAAGTCTGCCGAAGAATGTCTCGGGGAACAACTGTCTGATTTCGGGGTCTGATTTGCTAAGTGAGTCGAGCATACGGTTCATACGGTTATCGAGAAGAGTGTATGCCTTCTCCCGGTACTCGTTAACAAGTGCGTGTGTCTTGTCTCTGTACTGCATGGCATACGGTTCAAGTATGTACGGTCTTACAAACGGTTCCACCACACGTGTGCGGTAAATAGTAACAGCTTGACGGGCATGCGGCCTTGCCTTCTCAGTCAAGATGGCCGAGTGTAGTCGCAGTATCTCCACAACATCTGCATCAAACACCCTGTTCACATTTGCCCGTACATTGTTAGCAAACGCCAGTGCCACACGTCTTGTATTCTTCAACAACACTGCAAGGTGGTCTTCAGAAAATATTCGCGACTCAAGTCGTGCGAGTTTCTCACTCGTGCTAGTCAGCTGTCGAGTAAGGGCCGTGTGCTTTTTTTGATTTTCAGCACGCTCATTCGCCTGTTCGCGAGTGAGTGCATCCTGGCGCTTCTTCGCGTCTTGTTCGCAGGTCTTCAGGCTCGACTCGAGCTCGCTCAAGTTCGTCTCCAGTTGCCCGAGCTGTGAGGTGCGTGATTGCAAACTGACCAACTCTTTTTTGGCACCGTCGTAAAGAGCACGAGTCTCGGCCTCCGTCTTCTTAGCGGCCTCAACCTGACCCTTCAAAGCACTTACTTCAGAATCCAAACGTGCCTTCAAAGCACTTGTCTCCTTCTCTAAACGCGTCTCCAACGCACTCTTAGCACTCAACCACCCGTCCCGCTCGGTCTTCAGTGCTCCAACTTCAGCTACCACCGACGCCCGAGACTGTTCCAAACTCGCCCGCTCCGTCTGCAACTTAGTCCGCGCTGCTTCCAACTCTGACACCAACTGCGCCCGAGCCTCTAAACTAGCCGCTGCCGTCTTCAACTCACTCGCCTGCACCCCTATCTTGCTCTCCGCCGCCGACAACTTACTCTGAAATTCACTACAGTCCACCACCACAGCAGTCGCCACAGAGCCAACGGCAGTCTCTCCCATCACTACAGAAGCCAACACGAGCAAAATGGTCGAACTCCTCATTATACCAAAATTATTTTACCCCGAATCACTAATCAGCCCGCATCGGGAGACGGCACTCCCCATCGATGCCCGACCACAATTCACCTTCACCAGCAGTTCCGTCATGGGGGCTTGGCAAACCCTGACAACGAAAAAAGTGCAGATCATCCTCGACGCGGCGGCCCTAACGGTTTTGCTGAGGCCCTAACGGTTTTCTGAACGGTGGCCTACGGCGGCTTGCCTCGACATCAATGCTGCCATCAATGCTGCCATCAATGCTGACATCAATCCACTTTTCTGCCGGTTCGGGCACTACCCCACCCAGATCTAGTCGTCACTGCCTCCGGATCTGCATTTTTCAATTTTTGCCCATGACTTCGTTCTTGTGCGCCACGCCGAACAAGACTACCACGTATCACTCCAAACAAAGTTTGGCACCAACGCATGTGCCGAATACCCCCTGGACTTCTTCGCCGGAAACGTGGGGTTCACCGGACGGAGGGGGTATCAATGATGACCCGATGCAGTATCTCGCTCCCCCGCAAGCGCTCCTGCCCACCCCATTGGCCACGAAACCAGTCCCGTATCCCCACAATGTCGACTCATCAGTCTTTCTTGTAAAATGAAACACTTCTTACATACACACATGAGACACGTACACACATGAGAGTACACACATAAGAGTACACACATAAGAGTACACACATGAGATTGGTATGGTAGTGTTGCACTGAGGAGCAGCCGACAATGGGTGCGTTAAGTGAAGCGTTGGACCCGGGTATGGCGTCTCCGTATTTGCGGGAGAATAGTGCGACTGTAAGAGTAGTCCCATGCGACGTACAGAGTGTGGTGAAGAGTGCGTACCGGACATTGTCAGTGCGGCTGTCGAGTCCGGTATGGCGGCGTCGAAAGGAGTTGCTGTGTGTTGTTGCCCACGGAACACAGCTACAGAACGTGGCATTGGATTCCGGGCTGGACGGGGGCCTAACAGGAGATTTGACCCAAGGGGGTTTGACCCAAGGGGGTTTGACCCAAGGGGGTTTGACCCAAGGAGGTTTGACCCTGCCTGGAGGTTTGACCCAAGGGGGTTTGACCCAAGGGGGTTTGACCCAAGGGGGTTTGACCCAAGGGGGTTTGACCCAAGGGGGTTTAACACCCCCAGGGGGTTTAACACCCCCAGGGGGTTTGGACTCGGATTTATGTTATGTGGAATTGCCGCTAGATTGCAGTTCGATTTTGAGGTGTACACTGTATGACGCGCAAACCTACCGAGTCCTGGGACGACAGCCGCTGGAGGTTGACGTGGGTAAGATGCTTGTGCTTGGTAGTGCCATAGTTGACGGACGTGTGGCGCTACTGCCTGAGGACCCACTTGCATCCTTCCGCGTTCAAGTCGAACTCCTGCATGCCTCACCACGTCTGACACTCTATCTCACCGCTGGTGAAGTCGTCGACTCCCTCACTGGCTGTATCTCCAACTCCATCACTTCCTTTCAATGCTTCGATCCCGAGACGCTCCTGCCAATCAATGACCCTGTACCCGTTCGCTCCCGCTTCTCGATCACGATCAGGCAATCCTGCCAATACATCTTGTAAGCAAGCCACGGGTAGTCCACCACCACTGAGAAATCCACCAGCGTTTGGGGGAAGGGGGTTGCAGTAGCTGGGGGGAAGGGGTTTAGCGTTGGGGGTTTAGCGTTGGGGGGAAGGGGTGCTTGTGCAGGTTGAAGTTCAGGAGGAACGACGAGGAGACGTTGGAGGCTTCCCTGGGCACGACGATGCTCAACGAGACGCAGCTGGTCTCGCTTTACTCGCGCGGCAAGATCACGCGCTTCCTTTTCCACGCCGTCCTGGACGGCCAGCCGCCCGACGAAGAACTCGTGCACAGCGCAGGTGACGAGGAACTGGTCAACCGAGTCATGGCTCTAGTCAACGACAAAAGGTGAGCACCCGTAAGGAGCACTAGCGGTCACATTGGTGGTTGGTCTCACTAAGCGTTTCACTTCCGTCCACTGGCTGTCACCCACTTGCGGTCGCACATCTGCGAGTGCGGGTCACACTTGCTGTCACACCTACGGTGGTCAGAGAAGATGACGAAGAGGACGAAGAGGAAGAGGAAGATGAAGATGAGGACTCGGGTGCCGCGACGGTCCGGACGTCGGACGCCTTCGGGCCGCCCGACGCGCGAAAGGCGGAGCGCAATCGCAGACGCAACCGGAAAAGACGACTGCGCCGAAAAGCGAGCAAAGCCGCCGCGCGGGACCGGCTGTGAACAAACGGCTTGCTGTGGTGGTTGCGCCGTGCGTGGCAAAGTGTGCGAGTATATTTGTGGTTGTCAAAAAAATCACATTAGGGGATGCTGACCTGACCTACGTGCTGGCCTGACCTACTGCTGGCCTGACCTGCGTGTCTATTGCTGACCTACGTGTCTATTGCTGACCTACGTGCTAGGTGGCCTCCTGTTGTTACTGGTGGGTTGCGCAAAGGCACGTGGTTGGAACGCACACGCGACACTGACATCCACCGCGTGGTCGTAGCTCGAAGCTTTCCTCGAGGGTTTGTTCGCAGCTTTGGCAGAACCAGTTGGCCGTTCTCCACATACGAAAGACCTCCTCCACACAGCGACGAAGGCTCGCCAAGAACTGCTTTTTCTCAGACATGTTCTCCGGCATGTTCTCAGGCGGGAATTTTTTTCCGGGCACGGCGGGCGGGGCGACCGACATTCTTGCTGCTGGCACTCTTGTTGCCGGTACTCTTGTTGGCGGCATTCTTTAATAAAACCAGCCAGCTATTTCATCCACTGGCTGCTGCTGGCTGTAACTACTTGGCTGTAGCTACTTGGGTCAGTGACAAAACTATTTCTGTTTGCGGCAAAACTTAGCTTTATTCCAGATACTTGGTCCCTGCACACTACCTGGTGTGGTGTGTGTGGCCACAGTACGGGGGCTGGATGATGTGTTTCATGGTGGGTAATTTTCTGGTAGCGGGCATGTGCGTGGGGGAGTGAGTACTTTTTTGGGCCGGGGGGGGGGGGTCAATGCTTGTCTTCGTTGCGTCTGTTCGGTATTAGACGAAGTGTGTTTCAATGGGTGGGAACCCATTGAAGCAGACGGAGGCGTAGGATGCAGTGTATGCACCAGTGGATAGGAAGAAGAGTTTGTCTCCGGCGCATAGGTTGAGCGGAAGTCTGTATCGGAAATTTTCGTAGAGGATATCCATGGAGTCGCAAGTAGGTCCGGCGAGTACAACTTCTTCTTCTTCTGCTTCGCGTGGTGTCCATAGGGGGAATTTGATAGCTTCGTCGAGGCATTCAATGAGTCCATTGAAGAGTCCCACATCGGTGTAGACCCATCGGTCAATAGCGAATCTGCTTTTGCGTGAGACGAGTACGACCTCAGAAACGATGACGCCAGCATTGGCAACAAGACTGCGTCCGGGTTCGATGATGATTTCGGGGAAATCATCATTTTCAGGGAAGTCTTCCTTAAGGAATCTAGTGATTTCAGCAGTGTAGGTATCAAGCGAGTTGGTTCTTGAGACATAGTTGGCGGGTAATCCTCCTCCCATGTTGATCATTTTTAGTCGTATTCCATCTTCTTCTCTAAGTCGTTCGAAAATGACTTTGACTTTGGCAATCGTTGCATCCCAGGTGGCGATATCACGTTGTTGACTGCCGACATGGAAGCTGATACCGTATGGTTCAAGTCCCAATTCACGACTTAAAATCAATAGATCCATCGCCATATCTGGATGACACCCAAACTTACGACTCAGTGGCCAATCAGCGCTTTCAGAACCATCAGTAATAATTCGGACATAAATCCGCGACCCTGGTGCGGCCTTGGCTATATTCCTCAAGTCTGCTTCACTGTCACTCGCAAACATCCTCACACCTTTTCCATATGCATAACGCACATCCCGAGCCTTCTTAATTGTATTTCCATAAGACACACGTGTGCCATCCACTCCAGGAAGAGATAATACTTCATCCAATTCGTACACTGATGCCACATCAAAACACGAACCCAATCTTGCCAATGCTTCCAAAATCTGACGAGCAGGATTTGCTTTAACAGCATAAAATACACGAGCGTAAGGAAACCCAGAACACAACTCTTGGTACGCCGACTCCACTAACGGCACGCTCATAAACAATGCTGGAGTCGCCACCGATGCCGATGCCGCCTTCACCTTCTCAAACACCTCTGCCGGCACGTACTCCTCCGGATTGCACACGCCCGCCATAATTAAATTTCCCCACGACTTTTCCGGCCGGATGGATTTTTTTGGGTCATCGACCGGGATCGGACGGATTTTGGGTCATCGGCCGGGATCGAACTGCTTCGGTCACCGGGATCGGACTGCTTCGGTCACCGGGATCGGACTGCTTCGATCCTTGTTGATCAAGTAGTCTCCAAACACGCCAACTGCCTCCCTGATCGGGTACGATACCGTACTGTAGTGAGTGATAATCTATCTAGCCTTTCATCCAAAAGAGCGCTGCCAACTCTCAACCTCGTGGCACAGCACTGCACGCGTATCTCCTGGAACGCCTCCTGTAGCTTAATTCGGGGCTAGCCATTATGTTTCATTACACACACAGCCAGCGGGCGACCGCACAGTGCTCTGGGTCGGTGTTAAGGCGTCGAGGCCAGTGCGTAGTCGGCACCTAGACCTTGGCCTCGCGACAGTGGAGAGCACACATTCTCAAGGAGGCCCTGATCACGGACGAGGAGTACAAGCTGCTGCTGGACGAAGTGTCCTACGAGTGGAAGGTTGTTCGCGGACAAAGCAGGCCCTGAACAGCTTTATGTAGCCGCACCCGGAGAACCTGCTGCACCCGGAGAAAGATATACATCGGTCTAGACATCGGCGCCGGCGAAGGTCAGCCCGGAGAAAGCTATCCCTGATTCGGAACTATTTCTCGGGATCATCGCAAGACGTGGGGTCCTCGCAAATGTTCCCCCGGAGAGGTGCCCATTCTTCAAGTACAACACTCCAGGGGAACACGAACGGCTCTTCCGGGGCCGGCTCGGCAAGCAGTACATGTGAACTCCCGACTCCCGAGACTTCCGAGGATGTGTCCGACTTTTGCCAGATGATGATGACACCCACAGGAGCCCATCACGACCATCTTCCCCACACATCCCATCACAGGCGATGACCCTCACAGGCGATGACCCTCCCTTTGCTGCTTTCATCCGAGACTCTAATCACCAGGAACATAACTTACAAAAAATAACACGCAGAGACGACATGGAAGTGACACAGTCTCTCTGATACCACGACCTGCTCACTCCACAGGGGCCCGGTTTCGCCACGTCAATGCCCAGTTGTCGTCGACGGTTGGTTCAGCAGACGTCGGTCTGGACCATTGGTCGCTGTGACCAATTTAGTAGTTGATGCGTCCTTGGCCCAGATTTTTAGAGCCTTCTGTTTGAAGTCATCGGTCGTGTTATGGCATTGGATGGCCCAGCTTTTCACGTGGTAACCCTCTGTGCGACGAGCAGCATGGTACTTTTCCGGCTCAAATTCGTCGGTTAGGAATCCGGTGACCCAGCCCCATTTTATGTCCACGCCTGAGGGAGTTTGGACCACACTCCGGTAGCGTGTCTCGTCACAGCCACTGTAATCATCTTCGTCGAACGGAATGTTTTCGCCTTCGGACGAGTGGTATGAACCCCAGGTAACTTGGACTCCTAGCTTGTACAAGTCTTGTTCATTGGCCCCGTTCAAGTCAACGCCGGGAATCGAACCCGCAACCTCCAGCGCTCGACGAACATACAGTAATTTTCTGTGTTCCTCCTCCTCGTTGCACTGGAACGAGCACTGAGTAGGCATTAAGTGACGAACGACACCCACCCACACAGTAGGAAGATCGAATTTCCACGGAGTGCCAAAGTAATGACACCCAAGGTTCCCGTCGTTTGTGTTCCAACCCGGACTCATACCACCGCCGCTATTCTCACCACCGCCACCACCGCCGCTATTCTCACCACCGCCGCTATTCTCACCACCGCCGCTATTCTCACCACCGCCGCTATTCTCACAAACTAGTCTACCACCATATTTCTCACAATCACTCCAGTCTAGCACCTGCCAACCAGTCTCTGTGGCTTCTCTCATCGGTGCCGGCGTATTCCCCTGCATCACATTGTAGTATGTCCGTTCGCACATACTCTCCGGCGTTCTCAAGGAAGCCAACTCCAGATCAGAAACTTCACCCGTCCAGTTCGTATGAACGTTCGGTTGCAGGCGCACAGGCCGGCCCATCCCAGCCGTGTCCCTCATAAAATGGCGCCAATACAACCATCCTCCTGTCAGCATCCCGCCACCAATAGCGGTACCCAATCCCAATCCCCAAAAGAACTTCTTGCTCCGCCAAAAGCTTCCGGTTTGTTCACGGACAGGATGACTGAGCCGGCTTTCGACATCAAAGCGGCTTTCGACATCAAAGCGGCTTTCGACATCAAAGCGGCTTTCCAGATCAAATTGGGCAGTTGTCGAATTCAGGATAACTGACTGCCATTCCGCCGAAACTTCATCCCAGAGATGCTGTCGTTCCTCTGGCTGTAAGGGCCTTAACTGCAACACCTGAAGTTTCGGAGATCCTCTAACGTCGGCGGTGTACCGGACCTCTGGCCATTCCGTCAGTTTCTTGCCGAACGCATCCATGAGGATTGCATGGGCAAGAGCTGGCGGTGCCTCGGCGAAGGAAAGGTCTGTACGTTCTAAGTATTTCTTGAGCGCTTGAACAAGTAAACGTTCAATACGACTCGATGCTTCCGCTGATTCCGCTGATTCCCCAGGGGGATGGTAAATACGCAGTCTGTTCCAACGCCGGGGCCAATCGTATGACTTTAAGTTGGTCTCTAGAAACTCGCAATCATTCGCGATAGCCAGAACTCGGGCCGTTTTCTTCCCGTCAGATATTATCGCCATCCTCGCCATACAACCTGTAATCGGGGTCATAGCTCCATCAAGACCCAGAAACGCCGCCAACATACCATCTCCCCTCACCCCGGCCAACTGCAAGCACGACGCCACTGCCTTCATCACACACACCTTCGAAAAAATTCTCACACACGCACGCTGACGATATTCAGGTCCGCTGACGATATTCAGGTCGTGCCACACCACTGCGTCGAACCGCCAACGTAACTCTGTCGTTGCACTCCGTGTAAACGATTCAGTTCGGTGCTTATTCCAAAAGACTGATCGAGACGTAACAATGGTCATTGATCATGCCAGATGATCAATCAGAACAAGTTCATGTCCGGGTGCTGGCACCTCCAGGGGCCAAGTGGAGACTGTGACCAAGTGGAGACTGTGACCAAGTGGAGACTGTGACCAAGAGGAGACTGTGACCAAGAGGAGACTGTGACCAAGAGGAGACTGTGACCAAGAGGAGACTGTGACCAAGAGGAGACTATGACCAAGTGGAGACTATGACCAAGTGGAGATCAAGAGGAGACTGTGATCAAGAGGAGACTGTGATCAAGAG